AAAGCCCTGCCTCTCCTGCCCTCACCCAAGCCAGCCTAGCAGGGGATGCTGGGGAAAAGGGACCCACAGAGCAGCCCTTGCCTCTCCTCACACCCCTGCAGGGCTGTGCGCAGTGTGCTTGTTGCCTCAAGTGGGGACATCAGTGCGTTGCCCATCATTGCATCGCGCAGCCTTTCCTTTTGCAGCACCGTGGCTCCTGGCTGTGCCTGGTTGTGTGCACTGTGGGTCTCCCCATCCCTGTCTGCTGCTCTGTACAAGCCTTTCTGCTGGCTGGAGAGCTTCAGCGTGTGTTGTGCCACCTTTCCCATTCCCTGGAAGGGGTCAGGGCTTCCCTAGGATCACTGCAGCCCCACTGCATTAGCCTGCCAGACCCTCCTGCACTCAGTGCTGGGGGTCCATCCCTTCCACTGCCCAGGTGAGGCTGCTGAGAGCCCCAGGCTTGCACCACCCAGCAGTAGGCTTTGGGCTTGTCAGAGTTATGTGGAGCCACTCTTACCTCAAGAGTAGCATAAAAACTGTAGGAAAATGTAGGTTATATTCCTGACTACAACCTGGGAGCAAAATTTCCAAAAAGAGGCAATAAAATGAATATTTTGACTCTGTAGAACCACAGGATTCCTTTTTTTTACCTACGGGGACTATAAACCTATCTGCCTTCTCCCTGCTCTGGGAGTCCTGAGAGTCCCTTCTCTCCCTAGTGTTTTTATTATTTTAGAGAGTGGCTTTGGTGACAACAGGGCATGGATGCAGTGGCTTACACTACCTCCTCCGCACAGTTCCTTTGAGCAGGGTTTCCTCCAGCCTTCCTGAGCAGTGGCAAGCCCTGGTTGTAGAACAACTGAGAGTGAGTGCAGCTCTCGTGGCTTCTCTGCTGGAGGGAAGCTGCAATATTTTAGGCCTATTGGACCACTTAATAAATCCTCTGTCGTAGCAGTGATTTCTTGTATGTGTATGGTATCCAGCCTGCTTCCAGCTCTCCACAGAGACTGCACACAGCTCGCTGGCGAGTCACTTGTTGAATAGAATGAATCTTGTGTACACCCCCGCTGCTTCCCCATCTGATGGCCCCAGCAGCTCATGCACCAGGGATCTTCCCTGTGTGCCGCCGTCTGGGGTGCTGGGAGTCGGGTGGGGGTACAGCTCCACTTCGGCGTGTGGCTTCCTTCCAGGTCATTAACTCGGTGGAGGAAGGCTACCGCCTGCCTGCCCCCATGGGCTGCCCCACAGCCCTGCACCAGCTCATGCTGGATTGCTGGCAGAAGGACCGCAGCGAGAGGCCACGCTTCTCCCAGATTGTCGGCATCCTGGACAAGCTGATCCGCAACCCTGACAACTTGAAGTGCACAGCCACCGTGAACCGGTAAGGGCTCCCTGAGCCGCCGCAATGAGCAAGGGTTGATAGCTGATGCTGGGCAGAGCATGTGGGTTGCAGCGAATACGGGGTATTTCTGTCCAGCTCTAGCAGCAGTGGCTTCCCCTGTGACTGTGGACATGCATAGGGCCCATGGGCACAGGTTGTGGTGGGCAGTGGGAAGTATCCTGCACTTCACTGCCTTGCTCCCACTGTGGCATCCCCATGCCAGGGTCTGGTCAAGTATGTGCAGCAGTGCCCACGCAGCCACGTGCCTGCCTTTACCAGCCTGCGAGGGCTTTCTCTGTCCTGCCCTCACCTGCGGGGTCACAGGCTTTTTGAGGTGGACCTCATAGCCTGGCCACCTAGGACCAACACCTCTTGGTCTAACCCCTTCTGTCCTGCTCCCAGGTTCACCCAAACACCCTTCAACAGGGGTCTCCTTGACCTGGCCAGCTGTCCGACAGTGGAGGACTGGCTGAACTCCATCCGGCTGGGGCACTACCGGGACAACTTTGCCATGGCAGGGTACTCCTCCCTGGGCATGGTGATGCGCATGAACATTGAGTGAGTACCAGAGAACAAACAGCACTGGTGGGGCTGCCCTGCACCATCCCACTAGCCCCAAGCAGTGGCCATCCTGCCTTGGCTTGCTCAACGTAGTTGGCCCCTGAGCCAGAGTCACACTCCTAAGGAAACAGTGTGTGGCCCATACCAGGTTCATGTTGAGACCTGGGATGATACCCAAGGCTGTGCTGACCTTTGAGAGGAGGTGTAGGAGTCATACTGAGAGGGTGTGAGTACCGAGTCACCTCCGCTGCTCTGTGGTGGCTCTCCAATGTCATCATAGGGTAATAGATAATTCAGGTTGTAAGGCTCTTGAGGAGGTCATCTAATCTAACCTCCTGCTCCAAGCAGGGTCAGATATGAGGTTGCTGTCTCCTCTCACTTTTGTTTCCCCTGCAAAAGGCATGTCTGGACCAGAGTGTGGCTGGGCCATACTGCGCAGCTTCTCTGGGATCATTGGGAAACAAACGGAGCCAGGGGACGCCTCAGAGCTTCTTCAGACCCCAGTGCACTGGACTGGCTCCCTGCTCAGTGCAGCTAGGCAGGGAGGCACCATCCAGGGCCTCAGTGTGAGTGGAAGGTCATAGCCTTAAGCCAGGCCAAGGCTGGGTTAAGGGGGGCTGCAGAAGATGTGTCCTACCACCCATCCTCCTCCTCCTGCTGTAAGGAGCTTGCTCTACCACCTATCTAGGGGTTGTCCGAGGTGGCTGATGCTCCAAGCGGTACCAGAAAGGACTGCAACTATACCTGCTCCTACCCTGGGCTTACATTCCCCATCCCTTGGTGTTAGCATTAGTGCCAGGGCTGACAGCAACCTCTCCTGCCTCTGAGGAGACTTGTTCCCTGTCAAAAGGCTTGGGGCTGCCAGACGGTGGTTCCCGTGACTTAGGAAGAATGTGGCAGTGCACGCCTTGGTCGAGGTGGGGCAGGTAGAGAAGGAGCCAGTGAAAAGGAAGGTGGAGAGACGCAGGCAGAGGGCTGTCATGTGCATTGATCAGGGGCTGTACTTGGGGCCTTTGCTGTGGGATTGAGCTGATACTGATCCTTGTTTCTCATGCACATCGGGGAAGCTTTTGAGTGGGGAAGGCTCATCATCCATCTGTCTTTCTGACTGGGTTATCTGAGAGCATCTCGCTAAAACTGAATTCAATTTCAGAGCATCGATCTTGTCACCTACTAGCTTGTCAGGAGTGATCCCCCTCCTGCTCCTGCTCCTCCCCGGGACTGTCACAGTAGCCCTGTCAGGAGGATGTGCCCAAGTGAACGGCAGCCTCTCTGTCCCTGGGAGGATGCCCATGGACCCTCAGCATCAGCAGCAGCCTTGTGCTGATGGGCAAGCGGAGAGGAGCCAGGCGCGGGGTCCTGGGCTGGTCCATGGGTGCGTACACAGGGAAGAGCAGTGTCTCTCTGGCGCCCGGCGTGGGTCCAGCCCATGGGGTGTCTGACAGTGTCTTTGTTCTCCAGGGATGTTCGGAGTCTGGGCATCACCATGATGGGCCATCAGAAGAAGATCTTGAGCAGCATCCAGGCCATGCGGTCCCAGCTGCTGAACACAAATGGCCCCAGGAGGCATCTCTGATCACCAGTTTTGCAGACCCGCATCGGGCATTCCTTAACACTTACCCTGGCAAAGGGGCAGCAGGGTGGTGAGCAGGAAAAGGGGCACCAGACCAGGAGCTGGAGCTCCACCAAGTATCTCTGATTTCAGCGTCAGTGGAAATGTGGCTTTCCAGATACCTCGATGGTCCTGCTGCCTCCTTCCCCCATCTGAAGGGGGGAGCAGCCTTCCAAGCGGGCTAGGAACATGTCATGCCTCTCTCCATCCTCTACTGTGTCCCTGTGGGACTGGGGGTCCCCACACAACTACGCAGGACAGGTGGTAACCCCTTCACATGGCAGGATGGCCCCAGCTGCACCTGCAGATGGAGGGGTATCAGATGCAACAGCAATACCAGGAGCAGTGGGACTTATCTTGCCATGACACACAGCTCCTTTGGATCTGACAACTGGGGAGTTTGTTGGATCTCTGAACTGAGGAGGGCCCCACAGGCTGCCACGTGGCAGAGACAGCCCTGCACCCAGTACCTCCCAGTTCCAGTGTACTCCAGCCTGGACCTCCTGAACTGCACCAGCCTGCAGGTGACTTCATGGTCCACCTCCACCAAGCCCAGGAAGGCAGGCGACAGAGTACAAGCCGGCAGTGCCAGGAATGGCTGGCTCTGCGTGCAGAGGAGGCTTCCCCAGCACGGAGGAGAGGTGGCCAGGGTCTGGCCTCTGGAGCCTCAAGAAGCCCCAGGGTGCTGCAGGGGACTCTCCACCTCTTGAACACACCAGCACTGCTCCCCTCTGGATCCAGCACAGGCATCCCAGGGCAGCCCAGGCACGTTTTCTATGGCCACGAGCTCAGGTTTCTCCCCCAGCAGAATAACCATCCTGGCCTCCCCCAAAGCCGTACCAGAGCAGAGAAGAGTGGGAGAGTTTGCTCCCATCTCACATGATGCAGGGACAGAGAGACTTCTGCCAAACTCTTCTTTGTTCTTATATTGCCCTAGAGAAGCCCAAGAGCTGTCCCATTACTATGCTACCTGCCTATGCCCAGGGCTGCTGTGTCATCTGCAGAGGAGGGGTCCTGAGCAACATTTCCAGCTGCAATCACACAGTCCTATGGCTGGGGACAGGGGCTTTGGGCAAAGAGGATCTTCAGCACTACCCAGCTGGTGAGCCCGGTGACTGGGAGGTTGGCCTTTCCTCCACAGCTCTCCTTTCCTCCACAGGAGCATCTCTTTTGGCGAGCTTGCCTGGTGTGGAGCAGTGGCCTCCAAAGACTTGTGGAGCTGGTCTGCGAGGCTGAGCTGGCTGCAGAGATGCAGATGTGCCAGGGAGGGGGGGCAGGCTGTGGGCTGGGAAGGTTTCTCTTGGGTGTAAATAGAATTTTCTATGGGTTTGGGAACTGTTTTACTGAAATACGATGTTAAGTACACAAAAATGGTCTCAAAGCACAGAAGCCTCAGTCGTGGGGCTGAACTCACTGCAAAAAACTCTGCTGGGAGCGTGGCTGGGGAGGGGGGCTGCTGGAGGAGGAGTGCTGGAGGGGAGCCACGCTGACCGCCAGGGACCAGCCTGGCCCACAGCATCCTGTCCTTAGCACTAGCACAGTAAAACCAGCATCACTCAAATGCAGGTACTGGTAGGATCTGGCCCAAGGTCTGTTCCTCCCAGTGCTGTTTGGGCACAAGGGGGGGTGGGGGGAGGGTTAAAGCCATTTCTCAGCTGCAATAATCCTGGCTAAACTGGCCTGTCTGGGGCTGGCTTAGCTTTCCATCCAGGGCACTTACATCCTGCTGGATTCTCTGACTGTGGCGGGCACTTTACTTCTTCCTATGGAAGCTCTTTGTAATGGGGGACAGATGCAATGTGTTGTTTAATTTTTATTGCACCCTGCGTCCTGCACTTAGACCTGTCACACACCCACCCTGCAGTCAGCGTCATGATGGAGGTCAGTCCAAGCCCTGCAGCACAGGATGGTGGGTGCTGACCATGTCCTCTCTTCCCAACATTTGGGACTCCCCGGAGGGTGAGTCCATCATGGACAAACTGGGGAGAGCAGAGGACAGGCCAGTGCCACAGACCTGTGTCCTTGGGGTTTGCTGGGCAACCCTGGTAACGTGGGCTGCAGGATCTGAGGCTGGGAGCTGCCAAATGGCCCCTTTCCAGGTGGTTCATGGGTCAGATCCTGCAGCGTGGGGTCGTTGGGCTGCTCCCAGCTGAGAGGATGGCGGGGCAGGGTTTACCTTTTATGTTCAGAGTGTGCACCTCCTCCTGGACAATAAAACTCCTTCTTCCCATGGGCCATCTCCTCGCCTGTTATTGTCCCCGTACTGCAAGCTGTTCACTTGCAGGGAGCGTGGGGGCCTCCATGGCTGCTTCACAGGCACAGGCCGGGGGGGGCGGGCAGCATGGGATAGCCAGCTAGCCACCTCCTTTGCTCCAGAAAGCCTCCCACATGTGAAGGATGATTCCCTCGGGAGCAGGAGTGTCTGTGGGATGGGCCTATGTGTGCAGGGAAAGGCCAAGATGCTGACGGTTCGTAGGCTCCCTGTGGGGGGGTCGCTGTGCTGTGGGCTAGGAAAAGCCTCCCCCGAAACACCAAGTCATTGCTACATAGGGCAGGAGATCATGCAGGCACAGGAGATCTTGTGTGCAGAGGCTCCTCTGAACCTCGGGGGGTCTCTTAAAGGTTTTCCCAGATCCAGGCTTACCCTCTCCTGGAAATTCAGGGTTTGTTAAAAAAAGCAGAAAAAAACCCAGTAAAACCTCAACCCTTATCCCCTGAAGTCTGAGCTGAAGTATCTCGTAGGTGGGCTTGCAAAACCCTTCTTGTGGGCATTTAGCTGTGGTTCCAGCTGTCCTCCAGTGAAGAATTTGCCAGCGTATGAGTTGCAGGGAAAAAGACAACAGCAATATTTGCAGAAAAGAAGCATATTTTTCTTGCCATATAAAACTAAAAGGGCACCACAGCACAGGGTGGGATCGGATCTATCCACGTCACTGCCTGCACACAATGCCCCCAGCCTTTGCAGCCCTTCAGGGGTGGAGGTGACCGTCCCCAGGCAGTGCAGCCCTGCTCCACATCCCCGGTGTGGGGAAAGGCCAGCCTGGCTCCCCCACAGTGCTGTGCGGCCCTGTCCTTCCAGGTGCCCCAGTCTTCCGTGCACCAGCTGTCTAGGGGCTATCAAGTTATCCTGCCAGCCCTGTCCAGAGCATCCTTCCTCCCAGTCTCCCCTTTCACCATTCTCTCCAGTGCCCAGCACTAGCCCCCAGGCTGGGCAAGCTGCAGCATCCCCAGCACTGAGGGCTGAGCTCACAAGCCCTGCGCTCTGCACCCCCATTTGGGTTTACGTACCCCATTTTGTTATTTGCTGTTCCCATCACTACCGCCCACATCATGACTGCAAGGATGCCTGCTGCTCCACCTGTTGCTCTTGACCTGTCCTGTTCTGGACTCTTCTCCTTCCCCCACCACCTCCCAAACACATCCTTAGGCATCATATTCCACCTTTCTAGTTTGCTGGAGCGTTTATTCGCCAGAGACTTCAAGAAATGTGGTTGGAAGGGACCTCTGAAGGTCACCTCATCCCCCTCCTTCCACATGCATGTCCGGTGCATACAGCTGTGCAGATTCTGCCCAGACCCTCACCCCATCACGCAGACAGGGACAGCAACCATGTCACACCTCGCTCACAGTACACTGCCGGCACTGGGCACAGTGGGACAGCCTGGGGATGCTGGGACATACCCGTGTTCACTGAGGACCCACATTTCACTAATTTATTTCAGTTATCAATAAAGCCAGCATCCACATTGTGCAAAATGTACAAAGTTTTCTTACATTTCTCAGTCCCAGAGCAAACACTTGATCCATGGAAGGATGGATGATGATGGTGCCTGTCTCCTTCCCCCAGGTACGGGCAGGGGCAGACACACCCAGGCAGGCTGGCGTGCATTGCTCTGTGCGGGTAGGGGCCCATATTCAGAGCTGCTCCACAGCTACTACAGCATCACCTTGTGAAAGACTGTGAGGACCATGCCCAGGGCATCACCCTGCTCAGAACCCCCAGGAAGATGAGAGGGGGTTGTGTCATTTTTAACACATAATTTCTTACCCTTCTGGAAGAAATTGCCGTGAAAGTGCAGTCCTGGCAAGGGCCAGTCACCAGGGGCTCCTCTCCAGGACACAGAGCCACATTTCCAGACCTTGTGCATTGCTCCATGTTCCCAAGGCTGAGCCCCACCAGAGGCAGTGGCTGTCCGCTCTGGCCAAGCTGGGGAGAGGGCTGTCATCTAGGGATCATGGGAACCAGCTTAGGATTGAAAACCTTGTGGAGAGGGCTTGGGGAACCTGTCCAGGGAAAGGAGATGGCCAAGAGGCAAACTCTTCCATTTGAGGAGAAGTGATGGAAACTGTGGCTTATGTATGACAGCAAATAAACGCCTTCATGTATCAAAATAGCCATGAGGATTTTCACACCTTCTTAAATGTCCCTCAAGAGACTTCTATTCCAGCTTGCACCATTGGGAACTGGTCTTTCCTCGGTAAACAACTTTCCTTTTCTAGTCACGCTCAATATTACCCCAAGCTACCACTAAATTATCTCCGAAGCATTTCATTTACAGCTGTCCAGGCCAAATTTGGCTGTGTCATTAGCAAGTGAGGCTCCGTGAGCTTTGTGTGCCTGGAGGTGGCAGTCTGGACTTGCAGAGCACCTGCAGAGCCCTGCATGAAGCCACCCGTCTTAGCTCTGCACCCACGCTCAGTTTGTGCCAACTTTATGCAGGTTTGCAGGGGTCAGATGCACTCCATGGACGGTGTTAACAGATGGTGAACTCTGCTTCATATTTACTGATATGATTCCTGTCTGATCACATACCAGCTTAGTCTGCCAAGGAAGGCTGTATTCCCAAACCACCTTCTCTCTCTGCTTTTAGCACAGTCGTTTAGCATCATGTCCAAGCAAATTACTCAGGATAATCTGATGTAAGATAGAAATATCATCCACAGCTGCTGTTTTAACCCTTGGA